ATGACTGGCTGAGATTTTGGCTGATATGGCAGCAGATTTTGATGGGGGAATTTGAGAAGCAAATTTGGTTGATATGGCCGCAGGAGGGGAATTTGAGAAGCAAATTTGAAGCTTCTCATGTCATGCCCTAATTGTTTGTAGGTGACAGAGCTTAGCGATATCGAAGCTCTGTTGAACGTCGGAAAAGAGCCGTCAACCAACCTGCTTCAAATAAATGTACATTTGGAATTATAGTTGCAATTAGTTCTTCAATTTTTTTTTTCTTTTTCTTTTCTTTCTGTTTTTATTTAAATAAAAGGGTATATTCATCATTTCACAATTATTTTTTTTTTCTTCAATGGGAAAACGGATGACAAAGAGTAATATAAACTCCAAGTTTTATACCGCCAATTCCAAAAGGTGGGGAAATTTTGCACATTCGGTCTCAAAGTAGAGATGTAAAGCGGTATTCAGCCTAAATTAAATCCATGCAAAAATAAATTTTACCAATTACAATCCCAGCCCATAACCACATTCTTAAATTCAACATGAAATGGTCTCTTGCAATCCGAGTATTGACAAACAATAATTAAGGTAACAAAGAACTAACAATGTCCGACAAAAATAAAAACCTTTTTTAAGTTATACATTGGCCCTTTTCTTTCCATGTCATATGACAACCATCCTTGAACCCCTTATTTCTCAAATAAAGCAAGCACCAGTTCACTTCCCCAAATTTTCCTTATTGTTTCAGGGTCCGAAAAGAAGGTACAAAATTGGAATAATTTTGTAACGAGAGGTAGCCGAGGAGATAAAAACTCATTTGCGATGATTTCAAGCATTGGAAAATCCAAACTCGATCCAGTGTCTTCAAGAAGCTTGGACTGCCAAACGCTGTAGATGGTCAATGAAAACTTGTAGACTCACATCATCAGTGAAGATCACATCTGAACCAGCAGCCATCTCGTGTACATTACTGTATGTCGCTGATGGGTTCAACTTTGCCAGCAAGAATCTTGCCTGTTACAATGTGCGCCCAACCATAAGATACATTAACGAAGTATATTACAGGAAGTGGGTGGCAGATTCTTTTTAAACTACTAAAACTACTGAAATGGTACACAGAAAACAAGCAACGTAGGTAACATTATAAGGAAAAGCTGGATCCTGTTTTAAGCGCACTGGACGAATCAGTTATTTTAAGACACTACAAGTCAACTCTGCGGATCCTCTTACTTCCTCGTGTTGCCAGAGGCCATTCAAAATGCTGTATCAACTATGGGGAATTTTTAATAAAAATGCATCTTTAGCAACAAAGCACAATGATTACACTATAGGCATTGTAAGACAGAATGCCCCACATTCAAATCTGGAACTCTCTTCAAAATTATCTAGCACAGTTACCATGAATCATCAAAGTTCACATTCTAAGACAGAATACAATTAAGCAGAGGGCATGGGGGTGGAATTAGGTAGTTTGCCTCCATGCTTCTGCAGAAACTGAAATTTAAATACGTACTTAGGTTTTGTTCAAAAAACAATGCTTAGTTCCACAAATGAGCTCGCCAGTAGAATCAGCTACAACAAACCCATGCTGCGCCGTCTCTATCCCAATTTTTTGAGGTAAACCCATGAATCCGAACTGTTTGTGTCCTATTATTTCTAAAATTTTAATTATTTTCATGTATTTTACATGTCATAGCAATTAGGATAGAGATTCTATATCAGTGTACAGTGAATGATCTGTCTGGTGGAATAAAGGTGTTGTCATTCCAAAGGTTAAAAAACAGGTAAACACCACCTACACAATTTAAAATCCAGAAATGAGCGGGGCCATTAGAAGCCCAGAATATTCACAAATACCTCAATTCATGGTCAAGAGGTAGCTCACTATGATATTTACAGAAACAAATACATAACAGTCAAGCTAAGTCTTAGGAGAAAAAGGAGACCTGGGAACCATGCTGATCACACACCACCAGTCTTGGCACAGGAAACCGATCACGAATTATCAGTTGGGCATCATCATTTGGAGCTTGTAATAAGTGCGCAAAGGCCTATAAAGATGAGGAGAAGAGAGTATAGTTATGCACATGGAAAACAACATATTATCTTCAGGAAAGTACAGC